GAAGTGATTGAATTAAAGATGCAAAAAGCAATTGCTATATTCGAGATATGTACTTCAAAAAATCAATATATATCTCGACGCCTTCAAAAATAGCAAAAATATAAAATTAATTATAAGAGTAAATACCGATCAATACCGTTTTTTAAACATTTGATGCCGATAAGTTTGAAAATAAACTGACAATGCTGATGAGCATTCAAAGAGAATTATAAACAGAATTCACGGGAACAGATTTCAAGGAAATTCCGAGAAAATTATCAAAGGAATCGTATTCTAAGATTAATAAAAAAATAGAAGAAAATTAAAAATAAAATCCTAAGAAATTTCCAAGAAAATTATAATGGATTTCTGAGAAAAATTTCAAGTGATTTCTGAAGAGAATTCCGAAGGATTTCTCAGGAGAAACTTTTGAGAAAATTTTTAAAGCTATCGAATACCCAGGTTAGTTTCAGTAGGAGGTGGAAATTCATATGAGAGTTTCAATGGAATTCCAAAGCAAATTCTAAGGTATTACGAGAAGAGTTTCTGTTAGTTTTAACAAGAATGTCACGGTAATTATGGAATTAATATCATGGGAATTCTTAAAAGAAGGGCATGGCAACTTGGATTTGAACCCGAAAAATTCAAATCCGGAAATTCATTGAGTTTCAATTTACAGCCTTTTTTCTTTCTTTGAAGTCGAGCATCGTGAATACTTGAATTTAAGGCTCATGCACATTACGTCCGGATTGGAGTAATCGAAACAAATTGTCAATATTGCTGAGCAATTTAAATAAGACGAATAACTGATGGAAATTATGCACCGAAAGAACAAGTCTTTCTTTTGGTAAAGACGATAAAAACTTGTTCTATTTCACCAATTGATTCTGAAAATCTGACGTAAACATTTGACCAGATGTTAAGTTTTTTAAATGGTTCTCCATTCGGATTTCCGGTTTTCCCGGATGTTTTTTTTTTTAAATTCCCACATAGTTCTCGGAACTGGCGCAGTGAGGGGGTTTGGAGCCGAACAGATCACTAGATTAAATAGGACATTACTAAAACAGCAGCATTTTTCTTGAATATTGAATTTGAAATTTCCCTGATATTCCCTGATTTTCCAGCAATTTTCAAAACAAAAATCTAGGACCAGTGCCTACCCGTTTTTGGCAACACAACCCCATCAGCTATTACTTTCCTTAGATATATTGATGCTTTCTGGACATTTTTCATTAAATTACACATGGACCTCTAACCCAGTACGATTTCAAATTGAATAAAGCGTTCGATACATTTTATAGAATGTAAAAAAGACAGAAATCGCGTGTTAACAAAAACGGGAAGAAACCGCATTTTTTTTTTAAATACACACATTTTAAACAAGGTAAACGCCAGGTATGCAGTTCAAGCAGTAACCGGGATGTTACTATGATTGAAAGCGACGTGTGAAGTAAACTGATATAAATCTGTAAAAAAGACTTGATTAATTGCTTGAAGCAACTTCATGATCCGTTTCTTATCTCGATTTACTCACTGATACCAGAAGAGGTCCTTCGCATTCTTCTTCTTTCTTCTTGTTCGCATTTCAAGCTTATTGCATATCGCATATTGCTTATTGCGTGCTCTCAACTTAGTGTTCTAAATGCACTTCCACAGTTATTAATTGAGAGCTTTCGATGCCAATACCAATGCATGAATTTGTGTATTGTGTGGCAAGCACAATGATACTCTATGCCCAGGGAAGTCGAGAAAATTTCCAACCCGAAAGATTCCCTCGACCGGACTGGGAATAGAACCCGCCGCCTCCGGCTTGGTAATACCGTGCCTTTACTGACTAGGTCCTTCGTATGGTAATTTTCTAACCCTTAGAAGTTCTTTTCTGACTGCTTCCGAACTCAACCCTAGGGGCATCAATTCATGCAGATCTCCATCTTCATGGTGACCAGCAAATCTCGATTAGAAATTTTCCGGTTTAATCCCGGAATTTTGGAAATTTTACCAGTTTAGCGATATACATTTGTTCTGCGACACGTTCGAAGTCGTCGCTCAAAACTTAACGGGATTTCATTTGATTGAGAGTTCAGAAGTTCAGTTTTCAGAATTCTTCTTAAACAAATTTGAAATCATCTCTAAAAGTCTTTTGAAAATGTCTCTATAACAATTGAGAAATTATATGTAGAACGTTCCAAAAAATGCTTAAAATTCGTCCTTAGATGCTCTTCGAATTTTAAACTCGTTCTAAGAATTCATTGGATATTTAATGTTTTTTTAATTTTCTTGAAATTCTCCGTAGAGTTCCCATGCAATTCACCTCAAATTTCAGACCCACAATTTAAAAGGTGCTTTTATGAGCTAAACTGAAGAGGATATTCTCCGGCCGAGAATTGTCTTCAAATTTTGCTCAGAGTTATCTTCGAATTCTCCTCTAAATTCTTCTGGAAATTGCATGGAATCCTCATCAAAATTCTCTAGAAATTCCATTCGAAATGCGCTTGGAATTATTAGACCAGTCCAAGGGTCTTGAAATCTTATTTTTTTCGAAGAGAGGACGAGGTATATTTTTCCAGATTTGTCATCTTTCGTTTTTCCCTGGTGAATTCTAACTCCCAGCTTTTTCCGGTTTCCCCAGTTCACTGGTCACTCTCTATTTTACATATGAATAACTTGTTTTAAATCCCATTATATTTGTTTTGTCTTTGGCGCCGCCGGGATGTTCTGAGGCATAACATCTCTTATCACGCCTTCCTTTGGAAGGGAAGTAAAGTCGTTGATTCCCGGTTCATGAGTTGATGGGCCGATAGGTAGGGTCCAGGTGTGGGAGCTGTCTCTCTGGCGTCGGTAGCATTGGTGCTCAGCACGGAAAACAAGATCGACGGAAAACAAATCAAGGGAAAACAAAATTGTTTTGTCTTGAGCACATTTTGAGACCCAGCTCCATAAAAAAAATATTCTGTATAATACGCTTAACCATAAGTTAATTCGCGGGCGGATTTCTCCAGTAGGAAATCACAAAAACAGCGCTTTCATCTCCAAAATTATGTAAGTTAATTTCATCTAAATTGCAATAGCAGCAACATTACAATACTAAAACATCACAGAGAAGCTAATTTAACGAGCTAAATATAAATTTAGTCAGACGCAATTAGGTGTAACATATATTAATAGGCGCACATACCCATTAGCAGCTCAAATTTTGCAACAACTAACATCGTCTAGCGTCTAAGTTAATGGATTTTTATCCCAGTTCAACTCCGGAATGTGACAACACCCAGCGGGAGCTAAATTTATAAAAGACACAAAATCATCGAAATACCCTTTCATTTGAGTAACTTTCGCTTAACTTGCAGAATTGCAACATGTACTCCCGGGTGGCTACCGTCCGTATTAAAAATGTTGATTGACTTCAATAGCATAAAAAAACGGACATCATTCTGTAATCAAATCCCAAAATGAAAAATCCGATAAAACCATTCATCATTCACACATCACCTATCTGATCCGTCTCTGTACACATCCATCAGTACATTATCTATCCGAGACTAATAAATCACATTTCGAAAATGCACGAATGACATAGTTTCGTGCTGCCAACTCATTCTCTTGCTGTAAATCCAACTTGGCAAATGCCAACCACCAGGACCGTGCAAGAAAGGAAAGATAACATCAATGCAGGAATAATTTACGAGCAATAATAAATTATGAGTCTGGCTGCTGGTGATGTTGTTTTTAGTGGATCCCTTTTTTTATCATCCATAATCCTACATCGAGATCGTTAGGAATTTTACGGCAATCGGAGAAGTATACCCACAAGGAGTTACTAAATTAAATGCTTGACGTTGATTATATTTGTATTTTTTATTCACATTGTACTAAATTCGTCCTAAACTCCACTGGTCGCCTTGATCCACTCACGGACGGTAGCCACCCGGGAGTACACTCCTGGATAACCTTCCTCAGCACATCCCTTACCCCAGGACACCACACCGACCAGCTTGGTTCCTTCGACCAACGGACCTCCGGAATCTCCCTGGCAAGCATCCTTGCCTCCCTTATCGAATCCAGCGCACAACATTCGTGGAGTAACCTCCCCAAACGACGCATAAGCCTCGACACACTTCTGCTGGTTGACGGCCGGAACGTTGGTAGCCCTGAGCTCCTTACCAGACTCCAGAGCATTCTGAGTGTTACCCCAACCGGAGACCTGCAGACACGATCCATCATCGACCGGTTCATCCTGTTCCGGTAGGTCAACGGCAAAGAACTGCTCGCTCAGCTGCAGCTCCTCACTCAGCTCCAACAGAGAAAAATCATAATCGATAGTCCCGGTGTTGTATTCCGGGTGTTGGATGACACGCTTGACGGACACCAGTTGACCACCTTCGGCATGTAGAGTGGATCCAACTCGAACGCTCAGTTGCGGATCATCCGACGTAGAAGCACAGTGCCCAGCCGTCAGAACCCAGGTGCTGTTGATGATGGATCCACCGCAAAAGTGTCCATACTCAGCCTGGAGCGATACCTGGAATGGTACCTCGACGATGTCCACTTCGTATCCTCCTACGATACGACCTGAGGAGCGGAGCACTGAATTGGACCACGGCCGGAGAGGGTTCCAAGGGCTCGGTAGAGCTTGGCTGGTTGTCGCAATAATGCAAACTACGGCTAGTATTTTCGCGAAGGAAGCCATTGTTGTAGTTGATAGAACGGTTGGGGTAGAGAACTGTGGTTTGATGGGTTTTGCAGAGCTGTTTTTATACCATAAGAGTGGTAACATGGATCATCAAGTGGAACAGCTGGTCAGATATTTCGAGTGGATTTGTATTGCTGATTGCTGACTGCGCTGTTGAAGTAGATTAGTCACGTTTTACTACGGTTGGTGGGAAAATACGAGCATAGTGATATATGGATTGGAATATCTAAAAATAAGAAACTGTAAACATGACTAATCTATCTCAACAACCTAGCTAGTAAAAACCGATCCAAATCCACTCGAAATATCATCTCGGCTATTCCACTTAACGATCCACGTTCGTACCCTAGTGGTATAAAAAAAACTCCGCAAAGCCCATGAAACCACAGTTCACTAACCACAGCCAATCTATCAATTACAATAATGGTTACCTTCACCATATTACTAACCGTCGCCGGTGTCCTTGCGACCACCAGCCAAGCTCTATCGAGCCCTTGGAATCCTCTCCGGCCGTGGTCCAATTCAGTGCTCCGCTCCTCAGGTCGTATCGTCGGAGGTTTCGAAGTGGATATCGCTGACGTACCATTCCAGGTATCGCTCCAGGCTGAGTATGGACACTTTTGCGGTGGATCCATCATCAACAGCACCTGGGTTCTGACGGCTGGGCACTGTGCTTCTACGTCGGATGATCCGCAACTGAGCGTTCGAGTTGGATCCACTCTACATGCCGAAGGTGGTCAGCTGGTGACTGTCAAGCGTGTCATCCAACACCCGGAATACAACATCGGGACTATCGATTATGATTTTTCTCTGTTGGAGCTGAGTGAGGAGCTGCAGCTGAGCGAGCAGTTCTTTGCCGTTGACCTACCGGAACAGGATGAACCGGTCGAGGATGGATCGTGTCTGCAGGTCTCCGGTTGGGGTAACACTCAGAATGCTCTGGAGTCTGGTAAGGAGCTCAGGGCTACCAACGTTCCGGCCGTCAACCAGCAGAAGTGTGTCGAGGCTTATGCGTCGTTTGGAGAGGTTACCCCACGAATGTTGTGCGCTGGATTCGATAAGGGAGGCAAGGATGCTTGCCAGGGAGATTCCGGAGGTCCGTTGGTCGAAGGAACCAAGCTGGTCGGTGTGGTGTCCTGGGGTAAGGGATGTGCTGAGGAAGGTTATCCAGGAGTGTACTCCCGGGTGGCTACCGTCCGTGAATGGATCAAGGAGATTAGTGGTGTTTGAGAGGTGTTTGAATTGTGTGAAGGTTGGATGAAATAAAATATGAATACTATTTGTTTGGTGTATTTCATTTAATTGGTATATGCGGGTCTTTCAGAATTCGGTAGTAAAATATTGAAAACCTTAGAATATATAAAAAAAAGTATAGGTTTTTTTTTCAAAATCCCAACCTTCGTGTTCGAGCCTAACAATACCCATCCAGGAATACAACACTGGCGTTCCACTAATACCGGGGATCATAGAGCTGATCAACCAATATCGGGGAAATAATGGCCAACACATGTTAGTGGTGATCGGGAGCCAATTCAGAAGAGAAGAGAGGAGATCAATATTTGGTAGAATTCATCAACTCTCGATGACTCGTTGGGTTCTAGGAGTATGGAGGGATCCATTTATAAATTTAGCTTTCCTAGTTTTTAGTTGTAATATTGATCTATCCGGGCATGAGGTCGACGACAACTCGTGTGTATCACTTTTAGACAAAATGTAACTAAAGTTTGTTGTTTCTAATAAATGTTTGTATTATATGAGTATTTCATCGTGGATTCGAAGTGTAATTTATCATGTGACAATGGTCAGAGGTGCTCAGTGTTGGAAAAGTTCGCGATATTTCACGAAGTCCACCAAGGGAAAAGTTCGCGAGTCATAGTGAATTTTTGCGAACTTTTCCATCACTGCAAGTGCTACATTGGAAGAGGGAAGAATTGGAAATGCTGCCTAGCCCAATTAGTTTATTGAGGATCAAAATAACCCACGATATCTCCAATTGAAAATAAATCACGCTATCCTTTTGTGGGCAAACCACCTGTATTACATGTTGGGGCTTGGACGAAGGGAGCTCTCCGACAATTTGAAAATGTTGCAGATTTTGGACTGGAAAAATTAGGAAGATCCTAGGCATAGAATTTATTTCTCAAGATTCTAGGACCTCCTAGAATTATAATTTTCATTTCCAGGAACTCCGAAAAAAAAATTGAGATATCCGATTTGGACTATTTTTAAAGATCTGAACAAAACAAAACATTTCAAAATTGAATTGAATTTCTTTGAAGGCATTTTTGCGCAGACATTATGAAGACATTCCATATCTTGTGAAAATGTTTGTAGACATTTTCAATTTTTTACTTAATTTTAATCAGACATGTGAAGGTTTTTGCTACATAAATGATATTTACATGTCAAGCTCCTTACATAATGTATTTCAATTACATTACAGTTTTTTTTTCAAAATAATACTAGATCGTCCTGACAATGTACATATCTGCAATCAGCTTAAGAATCGGGAGAACATCAAAGAACTTTCTGATCAACCTGCCGACTATTGAGAGTATCTAAGAGAATTCAGTTTAATTTTTGAACAGCTGGAGATCTTCAGAATAACATGTGAGCAACTTGAAGTCTAAACATATTATCAAGAAATCTTCGATCAACCTGCTGACTAGAGAGAATATCTGAGAACGTGATTTGAATTTTTGAACAGTTAAAAAATCTACACAATAAACCTCATTAAACTGAAGTCTTGAAAAAATTACATTATTGAAACCCTCGATCATTTGGATATCTTTAAATACTTCCTGATCGGTTGGTTGGCCAACTTGTGAGAATATCTGAGAGACGCCATTTGAATTTTGTAACCTTTACGATCATTAGATCTTTATTTGATCAACCTGAAGTCTTGAAAAATTAGTGGCCGAAAAATTAGATCGACCAGCAATCTTAGAAGAATATCTTAATTTTTTGATCAGTTGAGGAACTTGAGATGATCAATCTGAAGTCTTAAAAAATACAGAGGACAGAACTAAAATTTCCGAATAGCTAAAGATTTTATTGATTTTTGGAAGAATATTTGAGAGACGAACAGTTACAGATCTTCATACGAATAATAAAGTACTGAAAAATATCCAAATGCATGTATTGTGTACATCCACAAAGTTCTACCATTCTTCCATTCTACGATTTTTCCATAGCTTATACAAACTTTCCTGAACTTCTAGAAAGTTCACTGAATTTCCACCAAATTTTCTGAAACTCATGCAATGTTCGCTGAGTACCTACAAAGATTGCTGACTTCGCAATATTTAAACCAGCCATACTCCTCAGCACAGCAATCAGTCGTATCAGTATCAATACACAGCGAAAAACAACTTCAGTGCAAGACGTACAAAATGGGAAAAGAAAACACAAAGGGAGGCATCCCAAAACGGCGATCAAGATGTTACAATCATCGAAAACCAGGAGGTCCATACCGGACTTCTGGAGAACAACGATCTTAAACTTACCATGATCCTCATCATGGTGGCGCTTCAACTGACGTTCACCATAGTCAAGTTCCTGCAGACTAGATGGAAGAAACAAGCCATAAAAGCAGCTAAATCCGTGATGTCCCTCAACGTATAGATAGGATCAAGACTCAACCCGGCCATCACAGCGAAAATTCAAATTTCAACTTAAAAATTCAAATCAGTGCCTAGAGTATAAGATACCATTATAATTTAAGACAAAAATTGTATTCCAAAACATGAACGACCCGAATGACCTAAAAGGTTAAATGGTCGATAATAAACAAACAACCTACAAAAATTCATTAACTTCTAGAAAATTTTCTAAAAATCTTCGAAGTTTCCTGAACTTGTTCGAAGTTCCGTGAGATTTAATTCTACCAATATCTCAGACCATTTGTGAACTTCCCCGAATTTCAGGGAAGACTTTCTAAGTTTTTCTACGAATATTTCTGAACAGCTGCAGTTCACAGAGCAAACTAATTTCTAAAATCTTCCAGAAAGTTCATTGACGTGTTTTGTATAACTGCTATAAAGTTCCCTAAGATGATACAAAGGTCCCAGAAGTACTAAGTATGTAGTTTTCCGAGCGTCTACGATATTACCTGAGCTTCTAATGAATTCCCTGAACTTCTACGCAGTTTGCTGAGCTTCAAGAAAGTTTACCGAGCTCCTGTGAAGTTCCTTGAACGTAAATAAAATTCGCTACACATCTATTAAGTTTTACGAAGTTTCTCCAATCGCTACGTAATTCGTTAAACGTCTACAAAGTTCGCTGAACTACTATGAAGTTCGCTGCACTTCTAGGAAGTTTCCTGTACTTGTCAGAATTGCGTTGATGTTATGCGAAGTTCCCTTAAGTTCCTATTCAAGGTGCATTAAACTTAAACGATGGACCATGAAGTTAAAAGAAGATCCCCGAACTTTTATGAAGTTCCCTGAAATAAAACAAAGTTTCCTTAATTGCTATGAAGTTATCCAAACATGTATAAAGTTACTATTTGGTTTGTTTTCCGACGATCTTGTTTTCCGTACTGAGTACCACTGCTACCGATGCCAGGAAGGCAGCTCCCACACCTGGATTCTACCTATCTACCCATCAACTCATGGTCCGGAAACCAACGGCTTTACTTACATTCTGAAGGAAGGCGTGATCAGTGATTTTATGCCTCAGAAAATCCCGGCGGCGCCAACTTGGATCGAATCCAGGACCTTTAGGGTGAGAGGCAATCACGCTTACCACTACACCGCCGGTGGTGTAACGAAGTTCCTTGAATTTCTATGAAATTCTCTTAAGGGGGTAGTCCACTCTGGCGGCATGAAAAATTGGTCATTTTCACGATTTTTTTTTTAGGGTAAATAACGATCAATTAAAAAAAAAAAGGATGCATGGTTTTGTCAATTGAAATGTCCTCTTTAATAGAGATTTTTTTTGTCGCGATTGGATGTCTCCTGTAGCCGCTGCACCAGGTTCCCCAGGAGACCTCCCGTCTGAGTCGTCGCGGGGCGGGACGTCTGGCGGTCACACCACTGGAGCTGGAACAACGAATTTTTTGTGGTTATTCTCTGATAGATGACCCAGTCTTGTACGTAGCCGTTTTTGATTTGGTTGAAAAATAAAAATTTGGCGACGTTTTGAAAAAAAAACAGTCCGTTTTTGTACCCTAAAATTGGAGATAAAAGCTTGCACCAAAAATCCATTTTTGATTCTTTTGAAAATCGGCTACGTACAAGACTAGAAAAAAAGGTACTTAACTCGAAAATTCAATCGCCGTTTAAATCAAATGAGCCGTTTCTAAAATACAGCGCCCGCCAATTTTGAAAACAACAATAACTCCTAAGTCCCTGATTTTTTACACAGTTACGCTAAAGAGAAAATCTCTGAGGTTCCAAATTTCTACAAAATTTGCATAATTTATTTAAAATTGGCTTATGTTTTACAAAATTTGATGAGGTTCTTCAATGTGAACTTCTACATAATTCTATGCATTGTTTTAAGAAGTTCACTGAAATTTAGGGAAATTTGTACATGTAGGTATTAAGTACAGCAGTGGGGTTGCGTAACCTCACTTTTTACTTGTGCGCCAACTTTCAAAACCAAATCTATGGCCATATTTCACTCAAATTTAATATAAAATGCAGAGAACCACTTAATTTGACTTATTATCTACAGTTTACAACCGATTCAAGTATAAATATTACCATAAAACAGGTTTTCAAAAGTGTGGCTGATGATCCGGGTTGAATAGCAACGTGCTTAATCATCATATGAATTATTTAATATTATTTGAAACATGAGAATCTTGGTTTATAACCGAGATAAAAATCCTCTCTTCAATGACTATTTGAACACAGAAAAAGCAACAATAATAAATAATAAGTAACAACAAAAGCAGTTGAAGAATTTGCGATCAATTTTAGTTGGAAACTACAAGCAGCCCCCGAAGTACCCGAAAAAAAAATTGTTTTCTGGCAGAACGGAAGAACTGTTCCAAAGAACTCTTTTCAGTGAACGTTTCCTGCAAGTACAGTTCACTTGAATGAACTATTTTGCCCATCTCTAAAAAAAACCACAAAAATTTACGTTTTTCCATGATGAGATAGAACACATATTTTTACACGTACATTTTTTCAGAAATCTAAGGGATTTTTTTCTCTAATATGCAGGACTGGTAGCAATCACTGCTGTTAACAATAGTGATTTTAGTGACCATGTTGATGAAATAAGTGACCAAATAGTGACTTATAGTTGTAAAAATAGTGACTAAAAAGTGACCTA